AAGTACCTTTAGAAATGAGGTAAATGCCTTTAGTTCGTGTGCAATTGTTATCCAGTTTGGAAATGGTAAGATAAGACATCAAGTAATAAATTTGGTAACGTCAACACTACAATGACTTCAGAATTGCAAAACATAATTTATTTAAATGTTTTCTAATATCTGCAATTCCACAATCCCAGACAAATCTTTGACTGATACTGTCTTTATTCACGAGACGGAATACAGATATCTGGCGTAAACTCTTTTTCATCCATAATTTCAACCTACAAGGGATTGAAGCAGTACAGCTTTTATATCTTTTGCACCATTTTCTCAAATGGATGCCATGTAGTCTCTTTTATGCGATTAATAGAACAACCTTTAAAGTGTGATTCCCCTTTGTGTACCTCCCAGCACAGCAGTGTGTTGTTTGACTGGAGCATTGCCACAGAAACAAAGAGGATTTATAGTAGGGCAGCAGCTTTAATTGCCGCCTCTGGGAATGAGGGAAGATGGCTGTGAAGAAGCTCTGTGCTGCATGTGGCACGTTGTTTCAGATACGACTAAATTTAAAAGTTTGGAAATCAAAGAGTGAACTGAATGCCACATAAGTGCTTTAGGGTCATTTCTACAGAGATCTTAGTCAGACCAAATACCTGAAGCTGTTCAAGCAGAGTGGTGGCCTGGTGCCGGCATCTGAAGTCTGGGGGCACTGAAGCTCTGTTACCAGCTGATGGAGAGGAAGTCTCATCACTGTTGTTCAGCAGCACTTCCTTCACAATATCAGCTGGGGATTTAAACACCAATGGGGGCTCAGGTGACAGAGACCTCCCTCTTAATGAATGCTTGCTTTTGGGGGGTTGATAGCCATCCTTGGGGAAACGAACCCTGGGCTCCACCCAGGAGAAGTCTGGTGTGTGATAACTGAGACATCCTTTTCTGAGGGGGGGGGGGAAACAAAAAACAAAAATGTTGTTGTTTGTTTAAAGAGAAAAATGATTTTTTTTTAAAACATGGCTCTGTGAAAAAGCTGAAACTGAGGAGCACAATAAATGTTAACTAAATAAAGCTCACCTGGATTCTTCATCAGCATTCAAAGTGACCTTGGAAGTCCTTAGTTCTGGGTCACAAATTTTGTTCTGCCGATGGGATTTAGAGGACTCTTTCCTGTCAGTGGTGAGGGAACGAGGCGTTGGAGTTGTAGCTGTAGGAAAGCACTGTTTTGTCTTTCTTGGTGAGGGTACCGGCTCCTTCTGATGCATATTTAACTTTGCAGATCCCGCTTCAGAGACATGGCTAGAACTGCTGCAATGATTTAAAGTTTCTTTTACAGAAAATGATGCTGCTGGCTTAGGAGATACTTGAAGCTTCATCTCTGGACAGCCACTGCTGGACTTGGGGCTTGTGTTGCCACAGTGTGACTCAGATAGACCGTCTGTGAAACCCATATCTGGAAAGGTTTCTGCATCAATTCCAGGGGCAGAAGCCAACTCTTCAGCAGTTAAATGAAAAAGGTGGGGCAAAAAGGAGGCAGCTGTGGACGACTGGGATGCTGGGCAGTGATGTCTGAAATCTGCAGAAGGTTCAACACTTGGTTGGTAAACTCTGTTAGATCTCTGGGAGTTGATCTGCTTACTGTTTTTGCTTATGAAACCTTTAGTTGAAGAATGTGTATACTCAAAACATTCTGATGTATTGTCAAGATGATATTCCTCTTTATTTCTGTCAGTCCTCTTCCCTTCTTCCTCTCCATCTTTCTCACCCTCTGTCAGGTAAAATATTAAATTATTAACAACCACACCTGTTTCCATTCCTTTTTTTTCCTAATTGCTTGCATATACAATACTGTGCTGACGTTTTGAGACATCTATAATGTCATTTAATAATCTAAAATAGGTGAAATTCATTGGTGTCAAAACTTAAAGAAATGGGGGGGAGCATAAAATTGATCGATAAAAAACTTTAAATTTAACAATGAACTAAAATGAAAAGTTTAAAAAAGCATGTTTTAAGAATATTCTGGTATTTATACTGATTAAATAAAAAGCTAAAGCATCAAAATAATGTGTGAATGAAGAAGAAACCAGCTGCTCAACTGGCAGAGCAGGCCCCAAACGTACAGAGAGTGTTGGGCGTCACTAAAGCCTGTGCTATATGACATCCTCCCCCTCTCTGTGCCCACTTCTCTGCCTCTTTGGTTAAAAAAAGCTACAAGTGCCAGACAAAACATCCAAATATCTAACAAGATAAATCAAAACTCACGGAATGGCTGTGTTTGGTGTTCTTCCCCTTCTGATTCAGTCTGGTAAGGACGTCCACTGAAGTTCATCTCCTCATGAAGTGTTTCCCTCAAATGGTCATTGGGGTCAGCCTCCTCTCGGGTGGATGATCTACAGCAACTTTCTTCCAGATCTACATAGTCCAATGCCCCCGACAGCCCAATGATTCCATTCTCATCCATTTGACTAGCAAACTCTCTGTTGGCCTCCTCCTCCTCATCAGCATCATCGACAGACATTGCGGTGCTGGTGGCTGAGGAACAGACTGGGGCCGGGGTCCTGTTCAGAACCCCAGGTGTTGTGTTCCTCCGTGTTTCCATTCACCTTTCAACCAACTGCTGCCTCCCTTACTTCTCAACTACGACCTCAGTGATCTTCTCAACCAGGCACAGGGACTTTCTTCATGACCTCTAGTTTCTCTGGGTTTGAAGTAAGTGCCACTTTGGAAGCCATGGTAGTAGAAGGTTACAGACTGTCATTAAGCAGATGGTCAAGGTGTGCATCCAAAGATTTATCAACTGTTCTTCACTTCAGGATATGGGACAATCTGAGGGCAGTGCTGAAACACATCAGTAGACATAAATGAGACTAATTCTATGAGAACATGTGCAAGGGTCATTTGAATAAAATGAAAAAGTGCTGATGCACTGCAGACTAAATTAATCATGATTATGTAAAATGTATAAAAGCAATGTCACAAATATATAACAATACAAAACAAGTAGAAAAGGCTATTGTGGGCAAAAATAAATCCAAATTACATTTAATCTATTCTACAAAGAACCCAAGGAAGAGGGGGATGCACCTGAAACTATTATACAAACACAACTGACTTTTGTAGATATTAACGAGTCGAACATTAGATGATAACATAGACAGAAGGGGTCATATTTTTTTTATACTGTCTTATTGACATGTTAAGGAAACCACAACAGGCAGGAAACATGGAGATCTGGGATCTGATACAGGAGGCGGATTGGGAAATTGCATGTTTAAAAGAATGAGGGTATTTTCTACACTCACTCTTTTGTACATTGAATAACTCACTATGTAATATAAATGGGAAGAGTTTTAGCTGTGAGAGGTGGTAAGGGAGGAATTAATGCGATTAAATGCAATTTCATGAAAGCCATTCTTCTTTAACAAAAGGTCATTTGAAAAGGCACTGCACATTTTATCTTTATAATTTAGCTTCTGCTTCATTCAGTGACACCTCTTAACTTATGGTGTTTGAGTGGCCAGAGAATGAGCCCCATTTCAAACTCTGAAATAACTTCCACATATTTTGCTTTGCAAGTTATTGAAGCATTCCGCCCAACACAGATTTCCTAAAAAGCCCAGCAGGACTATAGCAGGTGGATAGGACAATGATGATGAAGGTAGACTTGATGGTCATTCAGTAACTTTTTACACTTTTGACATCTCAAGGGAAGTGCTTTGGCCCCAAAATATTGACATTGATACTGCCTCTCCATAAAGACTGTGAATTTAACAAAGAGGAACCGGAGAAACGACAGAAAATGTCCTGTTAGAACAGTAGTCCTCAAAATATAAAAACAATATTTTAAAAAATGGTGCTTGATCTCAATCCCAATTTTAGCATATTGTCTTTCCTACAATTACTAGAAAGGCAAATCAAAGACCACAATAGAGAATATCTTGATATATATATAATTGGGATTACTTTAGGTACCAGCTACAACAGTGGGGTATTTTATAGAGACACAATTCTTTATTACAAGACCCTGAGCTAACAGAACCAAATAAATTCAGAAAACTATATTTTGAGTCAATAATGACCTTTTAAAATTATTTTCATAAATACAAGATGAAACTTTCATTATCATCATCTTTATTATAATTATGTTTTCCCTCTCAATTAAATGAGCTGTCTAAGCCCTGCCACTTTGGTTTAAGGTCAAACCAAAGGAGCAGAAAACAGTGTATTAGTGGAATGAAAACCATTTTTGAATTCAACCGCTTCCAGTTTTATTCAACTGGATGCAAAGAAAACTGCAAGCAGGGAGCAAATGCTCTGCTTGCTCCTATAAGAGCCAAGGATTTCTCTCAGCAGCCAGATGGATGGGAATTAAGCCATTCTAAATCCATTAAAGGGTGGGCTTCAGTGATTGTAAATAGACAGTAATGGTCAGTATACATATTTAGGATGAGGCTCCCCACCTCCTGACAGCACACAGACAACAGGGCACCAATCACGTGACTACCAGGAATGCTAAGACTACATCCAGAATTAATGGGTAGGGTGGAACTATAGGGTGGCGAGACCACGTTAGAAGGCAGAAGAGAAAAGAAATGGCAGAATGATAAATTAATAGGTCATGTTTAAGTTTCCTACCTTGGCAAAAGATGTCACACAGATCAGTAAACTTGGTGAACAGCCATGAATGTTTACAGGGTGGGACTGGGTGGAGTTTGAGTAAAGTGAGAATCTGCCACCACAGAAAACTAGAATGATCCGTCTAGCATGGCCCAGTGACTAACTACATGACAGCTAATCTCCTTAAGAGTCAGCAGGACAGCTGATGACATGGGAAAAAGGACCAATAGGAAGAGGCACGTTTAGATTTTTACTATAATCAGCCAATCACCAAAGGCCAAGACAATCAGAAAAGCCCCCCCCCCCAAAAAAAAAAGGAAATTATGAAATTCGAGGAGAAACTAAAAATAAAAAAACATACACTTAAAAATATTATTTGCATGTGAGTTACATTAAAACAAATCTAAGAGAGGAAGTATTTTCACACCGCTTCATAGCACCATCATACTGGGTCACGAAGAAAGGACGGTAGATACTTTTGTTTTTCTTTGATAGATACACAGAACTGAAAGTTAAAGTGTATTCAAACGAACCTTGGCAAGGCATGCAATCGCGACTCACCTCGAACGATAACCGGGCCCAAACAACACGCAGGATATTTGAAAAGACTGCAGAGATGCTACGTTCAGGTTTTAAATCAAGGGTCTGTTGCCCTTAACACCGTCAAACGAAAAAGAGAAAGGAACCCCCTATGTCACCATGGCACTCACACCACAACAAACTGTCGCCAGCGAACAATCGTTCGACTCCCAAAACACGGCGTATCGTTTGAATTAGCCAAACAGCTCTCACTTACCAGCTATTATTCGCTTTCGGTGACCCACAAATTACGTTAAAAGCAAACAGTTATTAACTTCGGGCTAGCTGTCAGCAGCCGGAGTCAGTTAAAAAAGTTTGTTGTTATAACGTTGCAAATACTTACTCCTGTTCTTTAAATATAACGAAAGAGAAAAGTAAACTTTGATGCAGATTTCAGCAACCAAATACTGATACCTTATTTAAGACGTTTTCACGCGAGGCCATTCTCAGAGAAGCGCTGAGTATGTTTAGAAAGCTAATTACCAGTCTTGAGGGTAGCACTGATTTAGGTGACAGACTAGTTACTAAAGGCAGAGTTTTGGAAAAAATTAATGTCCTGATTTTGGTATTTCAGGTATATATTGGTTGATATTCGAAATGATGTACACTTTTTTTTTTTTTACAGATATACTGGCGTAGTACTTCTCTAAAGACATTTTTTTTTCTTATCTTATATGCAAGAGTCATAATTTGGCTTACTTGTTCGGAAATAGAAACCTGACAGACCGTGCTGAGGTAAAATTCCGAATATATAATACGCTTGAAGACAATTTCGGACTGTTGATTGGCTATTGGGCTCCGGAGGGGGCTGGACAAGTCTTGAGGATGTGGTTAGAGGTTACAACCACTAGAGAGCAACATTTTATAAAGTGTTTGTCAGAAAAAAAGCTGTCGACACAAAGTATTTGACTCAACCTTAATTGATGCATTTGAATTTTTCATGAAATTCATATTTCGATCCAAAATCCAGTGTAAAACAAATTTCCCTTTAATTAGGTTCCAGATGGCTTACATAAAAAAGTCTTAGTTGCTCCACTCCTTTCTTCCAGTGACAATAATTAAGATTTTAAAAAGTACATTTAATGATTGCATATAGTGGGTGAAGCATCCATCCATCAATTTTGGTAACCGCTTATTCCCTAATGGGGTCGCAGGGGGGACAGGAGCCTAACCCAGTAGGCAGAGGGCAAGAGACGAGGTACACCCTGAATGGTCTAACAGTCCATCGCAGGGCCACACAGAGACGAACAACCACGCACACTCATACTCATTCCTAAGGGCAATTTGGAATGTCCAATCAACCTAAAATGTAGGTTTTTGGACGGTGGGAGGAAGCCAGAGAACCTGGAGAGAACCCACCCAAACATAGGGAGAACATGCAAACTCCACACATAAAGGTCCTGGTTCCCCCTGAAACTCAAACCCAGAACCCTCTTGCTGTGAGGCCCAGGCGAAGACAATAATCCATCATTTATAGATGGTAAGCAATTGAAAATAATAGATTCTGAAAATGAAACCTGTGACTTTTGGCTGTATTACTTGACTGCTTTTGAATGGAAATTGAAAAACTAATGTAAAATTGAATTACATGGTATTGTGAATTGAAACTGAGGCAATGAAGTATATATCATGATCAAGATGAAAGACAAGTCTGTAGGGTTATAAAAAGATAACTACAGTTATCAAGCTTGGGGTAAAGTAAAGAGTGCTAAGGTCAGTTAATTTTAAATGTAATTATGTTTAGTAATTATGTCACTTAGTTGAAAAATCCATTTACAGTGATTACACACACACACACACTTCTACTGAGACAGCAGTATGTAACAGATTCAAATTAATGAATATGCAGTGATGGAGACACAGCACCGGTGGAACAAGTGGAAGACAAACATGCAAGAATGCAAGACAAAGGTCAACTTTAGTTTTTTATTTTTTTTTAAAGATTTTTTTGGCTCTAGTGGCCTTTAATGACAGTAGGTTGACAGGAAAGGGGGCAGAGATAGAGAGGGGGAGACCTGCGGGAAAGGGCCGCGGGCCAGATTCGAGCCCACGGCCACCCGCTTACGAGCACAGGCTCTGTATATGGGCCGCCCGCTCTAGCCATTAGGCTACGGCTGCGGCCCCAACTTTAGTTTTTAATGTTCCATGACCATGTACATCATTTTAGCAACAACAACCTTTTCAGTAGACTTTTGAGGCTTCCTGTGGTGTTGATTTGAGTCTTACAGTAACCAATTAGGCTTATAGTTAGTGGAGCAGACTTGCTCCACTAAGTGTAAGGCTTTATACCGCCATGACGAATACTGAAACCGTTGCCTTAAACTGAGTCGCTCTTTCATTGATTTTGATTATAAAATCAAAAACACAAATGTTTACTGCAGTTATTTTTATTCAAAATGTAATTCTGTACAACAATTGACACTCCTCCCAAAACTTGCTGGAAGATGATACAAAGAGACTCGCTAGATGTTTTAGATGTTGTAGTTTTGCAATTCTTAAAACCAACAGGGTGCAAGTGAATGGTTTAAATAAGAAAATGTAAAAGCAATATGAATAAATCAATATAAACGTTTCTAATAATTTCAGGCCTTATGTTAGATCTTTGTTTTCTTTTATTAATATTCATTACTGATTGCAGTGGTTCAGGGCCTGCTATACAACATGCAAGAAATCCTATCCAAAAAATAATAATTCTGTAATGCCTAATTAGAACTTCCAAAACAGTTATTTTTTCCTTACCTGAATGACATGCTGGCTACAATACCAGCAACAAGTCATTGCCTGAGCTGTGGTGTCGGAGCCAAGGCCAGCACCTCTCTGTCTTGGGGTCTGATTAATGAGACTGTCAGCTGCCTCCATTGTTTCTCTCGATCATCCTTCTCTCCTGCATGGCCTTTTAATATCAGGCCAAAAAGAGGACCAAACCTCTATCAACATGTTTCTACCAGATGGCATCATTATAAAGTTAAACCCCGAAAACTCTTTGTGAGGAAGAGGAATGATTCTGCAGGTATTGTCTGTTTTGAAACAAATACAATTTTCTTTTAAAACTATAACTGATGTGTCATGTCCTATTGATAACTGCTCATTTGTTTTCACATTTGACATTCTTTTGCCTGCATCGGTCCGTAAAGCAAGCAGAAGAAGACGCTTTTTATATGAGAAATTTTCTCAAATGATTACGAGACTAGACAATAGGAACTGTATCACTAATTTTCAGGACATAGAAAGTGACTACTACATTATCAATACACTTTTCTTCTGCAGTCCATAAAAAGGAACATGAAATTATTCATTAGTTTGTGAAACTAATGAATCGTGGCCAAAGTCTGGCTGGATATCTACATTTTTTGTATCAGTTTATAACTGTGCATTTAATTTTTGGCCTCACTTTCTTTTAATTAAAATAATGGGAGCATTTAACTTTATCTGGGGAAATGTGACTACTTTTAATTTTCACGGGCGTGTTTGCGTAGAAAAGGTATTACGTTTGACAGCTTGTTAAAAGATAACTCACGTTACATAAAAAACATTGGCATATCTTCCCTGAGCATGTGTGGGTTCTCTCCAGAAAGTCAGGAGGGATGTGCGAAGAATTTAAATATTGGGTTAACTAGTTAGAATGTGCATGGTTGTTTGTTCAGTTCAAGTAGTACCCTCTCTGTATATCTCAAGTCCACTGGCTGCAAGGGTAGGCTTAAATAGGTATGAAAATAAATTAATGAGTATTAATAATAATGTTTTTTTTGTGCCTGTTTAACTGTTCATGAGTCTCAGAAAATGCAGAATACCGGCAATGAATA